CTACCCATCCACACACTTTTCAATTTTCAATGTTTCACATGGTGAGTCCCCTTTGTCATTTCTGTACCTTCAGCATACCCCTCTCCCACTTTTAAACATATCGGGATACAGGGGTCACAATACAATACATATCGTGATACAAGGGTCACAATACGATACATATCACGATATAGGGTAATGGGATATAAATTAAAATTTTATCTTCAAAGTTTCTATATATATTAATAGGAGTTGATAGAAGTGGTTAAAAAGTGTCCTTTAAAAAGTTTTTAACAATTTCAGTGAAAAAAATTGTTATATCATAAAACAACTTATAAAAATCCCCACTTTTTCATGGAATAAAAGGTATCACCAAGTATTGATACATGACGTATCATGATACATCGATTCACCGATACATCATGCCAGCCCTAATAAGAAGACATAATGAAATAATTTTCTAACACAATTTTTTTTAGCCAAAAATTGTTTCATTTGGACTATATGTGATTACTTCACTTTGTAGTCTCAAAACCAAATCATCGAAATGGATTAAGGATTTGTCAAAACAATTTCAAATTATAAAATATTTAAAAAAAAAAATGTCAAATCCCACTCAGGAAAAGAATTAAAAAAAAAAATTACTTAAAATAAGTTTAAAAAAATTTACCTTAAGATTAATGACTAACAAGACTTCCTTAAAGTAGGTTTTACTTATGATTATAGCCAGACAGCTATCTATAGCACTGACAAAATTCTAATGAATTAAGTTAAAAGGGTTATTATTATGATATATTGTACCTATATTGATACTATACAGTTATTATTGACCTATCTAATGTATGTTTACCAATCACTTCTATAGCTACCGTACAATATCAATACCCTTATCATTGAGAACCTTTTTTCATTTCACTCAACCCCTAAACACAACCCTCTCTTATCACATAATGATTAATCAAATGCTCTCGATCTACATACAAAATCTCTTTCTTCTTTCATAAAAGACCTGATCCAACTTGACATAGATTTCAACTTAAGACGAAATTTTGATCTACGGATTTTAATTCCATATTGGCACCTTCCATCATGGGCGATAAATTAACAAAAGATCAACATTGATTGCAGAATCTCTCTTGAAAAAGACTTTTAATAGGTCAAAATGCTGCGCACTGTACCCCCACAAATATACAGTATCTGTTAGATAGTCTGATTAAGAACCTACAAAACGAATTTGCCATTTAGCCTAGATCTTTTTTTAAATGTGGATAAGTTTCATCCCATGTGGCTTGTTTCCAAAGCAATTTAACTCAGCATACTAAGTACATTAGCCAGTATGACTATGGGATAAGAAAAACACCTTATTTGATATATCTAACATAAAACTTCTGAAAATTGTAAACTATTTTTTCTTTTTTCAAAGACAAATTATTTCTCACTTCTCAGTCAAAATGTGTATAATGTTTTAAAAATCTTCAAATTACTTCAGATAATGATACAAGTCATTATGAAAACACTTCACCTTTTGAAGCTATGTAACACTATAGCCTACAGTATAAGATATTGTAAAAGGATCTTTAATTCAGTCAAATATACATTACCTCACATTTGATCTTGAATAACAATAGGTTCAAACTGTGAGTGTATTGTATATTTGAATTAAATCAAGATCCTTTTACACTATATTATTCTGTTACGGCAAAAATAACACTAATTATAAGTGTACACTAAACATTGTGCACATCCCAAAAGGAAGATCCATACTTTACAAGTATAACACCAGGATCTACCAACTGCCGGTCATTGGACAAATTTGATCGTTTGATCGCGGATTATCCATAACCATTTACAATTGGGTCGATTGGAATAATGAGGAAAGATGACTTATTCAAGATCACCAAGCTTTCACACACCAACTGAGATTAGAACCAGCAACCACTATTTGTTTGACTTAACAAAGCAAAAGATATCATGAAAATCTGTACAAGCAGGATAATTGCATTAATCAAAATCAAAAAGTATAGCAAAAATCAGGAGTAAAAGTTGTATAGTAGTTGACTCCTCCAGA